AAAGGTTTTCTCACACTCTGCACACTTGTAAGGCGACTCCCCGGTGTGACTTCTGGTGTGCTTGCGAAGTGATGAAGGTTGAGCAAAACATTTCCCACACTCCAAACATTTGTATGGTTTCTCTCCAGTGTGGATTCTCTGATGCATCACAAGAGTATCTTTCCGAGAAAAACATTTATCGCACTCCGAGCATTTATGGAGCTTCTCTCCTGTATGGATTCGGCTGTGGTTTCTAAGGGAACATGAATGAGCAAATGCTCTCCCACAGTCTAAACATTTGTAATTTCTTTCCCCTGTGTGAGTTTTTACATGACTTCTAAGATGTGATGTGGTAGAATAAAATTGTCCACATTCGATACATTGATGTGGTTTCTCCCCTGTGTGGGTTTTATGATGTCTCCAAAGGTTTATCTGTTGAGCAAAACATTTTCCACATTCTAGGCATCTGTATAATTTCTCCCCTGTGTGGATTTTATGATGTGTCCAAAGGTTTCCCTGTTGAGCAAAACATTTTCCACATTCGAAGCATTGATATGGCTTCTCCCCTGTGTGGGTTTTATTATGTGTCCAAAGGTTTCCCTGTTCAGCAAAACATTTTCCACATTCTAGGCATCTGTATAATTTCTCCCCTGTGTGAGTTTTATGATGTCTCCAAAGGTGTCCCTGTTGAGCAAAACATTTTCCACATTCGAAGCATTGATATGGCTTCTCTCCTGTGTGGAGCCTCTGATGCCTTCCAAGGCTTTGTTTTAGGGAAAAGCATTTCCCACACTCCTCACATTTGTATGGTTTTTCCCCTGTGTGGATTCTCTCGTGAAGCTGAAGCTCTGTTTGTGTAAGAAAACCTTTCCCACATCCCCCACATTCATAGGGTTTCTCCCGTTTGTGCCCCTTCTGGTGCCTCTGAAGTAGAGAAGGAAACATAAATCGTCTCTCACATTCTGGGCATTCATAGGGTCTCTCTCTGGTGTGAATTCTCTGATGTTGCACTAGGATTGATTTTGAGATAAAACATTTCCCACATTCGAGGCACTTTTCGTTTTTCTCCCCTCTGTGTGTTTTCGCATGATTCCAAAGAGTTGAACTCCGGGTGAAACATTTTCCACACTCAAAGCATTTGTAAGTTTTTATTCCTGCATGAACCTTCTCATGGGCCCAAAGACTTGCCTTCCAAGAAAAGCTCCTCCCACATTCCCAACACGTGTAAGGTTTCTCCCCTGTGTGAAGCCTCTCATGGTTTGTGAGACTGCCTCTTTCACTGAAAAAATTCCCACATTCCAGACACTGATAGGGTTTCTCTCCAGTGTGGATTTTCTGATGTCTAACAAGGTGTGACCTTTGACCAAAGCATAGGTCACATTCCTCACATTTATAAGGCTTTAGTCTGGGGGGGCTTCTGAAATTTTTCATATCTTTTCCAGAGAAGGATTTCTCACCCTCCAATCCTTGACTGGATCCACTTCCCACATGGACCTTCCTGTGGGTCAAAAGGAGGGACCAGCGAGCAAAGGATTTTCCACACTCTGAGCATTCATGGGTTCTTTTGTGGTTTTCTTTTGTGGCTGCTTCTGTCTCACAGGGGATCCAAGAGTTTCCCAGGCTCCATCCTTTCTGGCACTGGCTGCCTTGGGCTGATTTTCTGTTACCTCTTGAAAGGTGACTTCCAGGTGAATCTTTGGTCAGAGTTGTTTTCCTGCTGGTGGAAAAAGAAAGAAGAGGAGAATAATGTTTCCTTTCGACAATGGTAGAGAATCACAAAATCATAGCCTTGGAAGGGACCATGAAGGTCTTCCAGTCCACCCTCTGACCAGGGCAGAGGTCCACAGTACACCTGAGACAAAACCTCCATGGATTCCGTCACCCCAGATCCCTTGGAGGCAAACTCTCCTGCTGTTCACTGACTCTATCTTTTCCTTCTTGGTTCTCGTCCTATGACGAGGTGAAAAAGAATCTCTGAAACTTTAGGTAGTCCTCAACTTATGACCAAAATCTGGACAGGAATCTCGCTGTGTCCAGGGAAGTAGGAGTTATGTGAGGGTCACACGGCCACTTCACTCACCAAGCGCAATCCCACACTCTTGCTTACAGTCATTAAATCATCTTGAGGGTTTTTAA